AAACCAGGTGGCAGATCGTATGTTTCTTTTTGTTACTCTATCTATTGAGTTAATATAAAAATCCAGACTTCATAATAAACGGAGAAGCTTGAGATTATTTCCTCAGAAGCATGATTCACAAGCAGCTCTAAAGTCTAGGCCACAAGACTGGCTATCAGGAGCTGAATGTGACAACGGTTACACTTTAAAGGCTGGTCCTAATAAAGAGTGGCCAACAGGTGGAAGCAAGAGCTTGCTGGGCCTTTATGTGGAGGGAGACAGACACTGTCTGCAGAAACAGGTTCTGGATCTAAGGTGCCATGGGCTCCTCCTGCTGCCACATGGTCAACAGCCACAATCTCTCATTCTTCTAAAGGGATAGAGTGGCTGTTTAGTTTTGTTACTTTTTCTTCTCTATTTCCTTGTTCTGACCAAGTCTGGTGATGAAAGTGCTACCTGCCTGGTAGATGGACCGTGTTCCACACAGACCTCCAGTTTTAAGGGAGACGTAGCTCTTGCCTGATTAGACATCATTCTTTTCAAATCCCACTCAGACACAGTGACTAAGAGAGCCACTGAGACCTTTTCCCTTAAAGAATTCAAAACCCGAAAAAAAAAAAAAAAGAATTAAAAACCCATGGGACACCTGGCTGGATCAGTCTGTGGAACATGTGAATCTTGATCTCGGGATCATGAGTTCGAGCCCCATGGCTGGGTGTGGGAGATTAAAAATCTTATTTAAAAAAAAAAAAAAAAAGTTCAAAACCCATTACCTGAGAAGTTCTATTCTCATTGTCCCGTATCCGTTCCTTAACCAGCCGCACAAGAGATGCAATGTTGTAAAACTCCGCTTCTTCCAGCACACCTAGGACAGAGACCAAACTGCAGTTAGAGGTGTGTGCATTCCCCAGAATACAGCAAGAAGAGGCTGAAGTTTACATGCTTGCTAAGAACTGCATTTTTCAAATGGAAGCCTAGTCTCTCCCCTCCAGCCTAGGAAACATTCTTTGCTGTTCAGAATATACCCATTTCCTTCTCCCCAGAGTGAGTGAGTCAAGCTCTGGGTCTGCTCTGTTCACTCTGTTTCATCCCTGTGGTTTCCCACTTGGCACCTTCCCAGACTCTCCTGTACCTGCCCATTAGCTGCAGGATACCTTTCCCATATGTCACTTAGTTCCTGCTAAGTGCTTACCCAGTTTCTCCTAAAAATGACCAGGGGTAGCTGTATGTGTATAAATTTATGTGGACCAAACTTAATAAGGTGCTTATTATTTGAACAACATAAAAGGCAGGCACCGAAAGAATTGTACTAAATAAAATCAAAGGCCTTGGACAGGACAACAAAGTGGGATGTGATCTGATATCAGAAAAAAACACTTGCTACAAAAAACATTATTGGAACTAATAAAATTTGAATATAAGCTGTAGATAAAAATATTTATCGATATTAAATTTCCTATACTCAAAAAGTATATTATACCCTTGTTCTTGGGAAATACACTCAAGTATTAAGAGGTGAATCTGTAATTTAGACTCAAATAGTTCAGAAATAAAAACTATGATGGGGAGGGATGAGGGGCAGGAGGAGGGAAAGAGAATGGATGATAACACAAATATGACAAAAATGTTAAAAGCTGGTGAATCTGGGAGTTCTTTGTGCTATTCTTGCCCTTTTCTCTGAGTTTGAAAATATTTCAAAATAGAAAACAATTTTTTTTTAAGTTTTTAGAAAGATACTGAAGATTCTTTTCAAGAAACAAGATTATCTGTGAGGTGGTAATTGTTAAAGCTGGATGGTAAGTGTATGGAATTTACTGTAATATTTTCACTATTTTTTGTATGCATTTGGAATGTTAAAAAAAGAGTGCACACAAGAGTCCTCTTTTTATTGGCTGAAACAGATGTGTTTCACGGCCACTTCATTAACTAGCACAGCCATTACAGCTTTCTTACTCAGAGCTAAAGCTTCCAGGTCAGGATGCCCTGGATTTAGGGACAGGCCCTAATCTTCAACTGAATGCTTTTGGTAAGACCACATCAAGCCTTTTAGATAGATGTCTAGACCCACTTATGGTCCGGATGCCCTAAAAACTAAAAAGATGAGGCAACCGATGATACACCTGACAACAGACTGGAGAATGAATTAGGTCAGCTGCAAGAATTTACAAGGAAGCATGAGACCAGTCTTAAAAGAAATGAGGCCAAGTCCTTATTATTTTTTATAGCAGCAAGTTCAAACTGAAATTGAAAATATAAATAATTAATGTCAGAGATGTGATGCTTCAGGCTACGGACATTCACACTAACAAGCATATAAGTAAAAATAAAAAGGGATTCTGACATTCTGTAGGTTTGGAGAATGCTCCCAAAGCTATCTGCAAAACTGAGTTAACTATTTTCCTTCTCATTAAGGAGGCTGAACGGAGTCCAGTGGGGATCCCTTAAGCAGGACTTCCTAAGATAAGACTAGGTAACTAGAGACTCCTGGCTCACTTTTATAAACCTTTACTACATCTGCACATCAGCTCGGTGAAAATCTCAAAAAAAATAAATAAATAAATAAAATATAAAAAATTCAAAGGTTTAAAGATATGGCCTGAATTTTGAAAATGCCCAGTTCAGACATTGTTCTTACCTTCTTCTGCCAACTCCTTCGTAATGATGAGTTTCCCATGGCGGAGGTAGTTTAGGATAGGACCAAAGTAGGTGGGGTCCCTGTCAATCAGATAGGCCCCTGTCTCGTCCTGCCAACCAAACACAAAGGTATCACTTTGGAGCGTTCAGACGAAGTTGGGGCAGGGTTTCAGCCTCTCTGTCACAATTCCTTGGTGAGAGGGCAAGTTTCGTTAGACGCTGCTTATCACAAACTACTGGCAAGAAGGCTAGGTTTATGTATCTTGTATCTTGTGCTCTGAGATCATTTCAGGTGGGGTGTTACAGATGTCTAGTCAAATCATCTATGTGTTTCCTTGAACTTCCAAATCTCTGCTTGGACACAATTACCACCATTATTCTCGGGGATATCTGTTATAAAGAAAGTGGAAGAAAATGCCATAGTTTGATCACTTAAATCTTTGCTTGAGATGGACATTCACACTTGTCTACTGCCCCCGAATCACATTCTTAATTCTAAGAAAACCTCTGTATGGTTGGCAATACTGAACTCAAGCCAGCATCAGTGGGAGTCTGCATTGCCAGCTGTAACTCACACACCCCAGTTCTGTGCCCAGAGGAAGCTTGGCACTGCCAGGACTTGGCACTGAGCAGCTTTAATCCTACTCATCTTTACAGTAAAAGGAACAAGAAGAAACTGGCTTCTATTGCAACGAGAGAGATTTAGGGTAGATAAAAATAATTCCTTTATAAGCAAAGGTTTTGGAATTTCTTTAAAGTTAGGGCAGGACAGGTCTCCATCGATCTGAGATCAATCAGAGGAGAGGCAGAGGGTGAAAAAAAATAACATCAGCCAATCTCTACCCAAACCTTACTCTGTTTCAATATCACTGGCTGAGTACTATACAGGACAGAAGGTGGTGTAAGCTATGGTCAACGTCTTTAAGCTGGCAACTAAATGATGAATGTGTTAATAAACAACACCTCAAACTGGAAACGGGTTGGAAGTGTCTCCGTCACCTCTCAACTTTTGGTTAGCAGCCATGCATCTTGCTCAACAGCATTCTTCAGTTTTCATTTTCCGATGGCCTTAACCAGTCAGCTTAGGTTTGCACTGGCAACCGTGCAAATCTCTTTCCAGGCATGTATCTGAGCTCTAATTTGGTCCTAAAACACTGTTACCAGATACGTATGAGCTCAGGGCCCAGGACCACAGCAGAGAAGTGTGCTATCACGAGAAGCACTTCCTGCAGCTGTCAGACCCAGGCTTTCACCCAACTTGGCAGAGGGGTCCGAGAGGAAGTCTGAGAAAGCTAGGAAGATGCCTTCGCTCAACCCTGACCCAGTTCTGGACGCATCTGGCACAGGCAGTGAGGGGCTGACGAGGAGCCAGGGGAACACTCGTGGAGATCTGAGGGGCGGGCAGGAGGGGTGTAGAGAGGGATACGGAGAAGGGGTGTGGAGCGGGTTCTCGTAGGAGCGGGTGGGCACTGTGTGGGGAAAGAGTCGCTGAGAGCGAAGGGCGGGGTCCGAGGGAAAGCCGGGGTGCGACTAGGATGGGGAGAACAGCCCCCAGGGCCAGCCTGGCGGGGGGTGGGGGGAGGGGGGGTCCCGGCCCGGAAAGCCCGCCGGTGATGAGGAGCGTGTCGCAGGAATTCGGGGACGAGCTCGGAGGCACGAGGGGGCTCCGAAGGCCGGGGGCGCGCCCGAGGGCGGGGCGCACCTTGTCCGAGTCCAGCTCCGGGTCCTCCTGGCAGCAGAGGCGACACAGGAAAGACTTGGGCTCCCGGCCTAGGGTCTGTCTGGTGGTCACGAAGTAGGTGCCGCCCACGTTCAGCCGGACCCAGCGGGCCGCACCGCCGCCCCCTGCCCGCTCTGGCGGTCCCGGACCCGGCTCCAGCGGCGGCGCGGCGGCGGCGGGCTGGCGGCCGTGCCCGCGGGGCGTGGGGCCGGCGGGGCGAGGGCTGGGGGGCCCGCGGCCCGGGCCGCCCCCGTCGCCCAGCCCGCTCCCGCCACCCCCTCCCAGCCCCGCCATCGCCGGGTCCAGCTGCAGCTCCGCCATCTTGGGCCGCCGCCGCCGCCGCTGCCCGCGCGCCGCCGGGCCGGCCCATCTCTCGGCAGGGAGAGCCGGGCCGGCCCATCGGCGGGGGTGGGGCTGGGGGAGAGGGACGGGAGCGCCCCCAACCAGCGTCCGGGGACCCGTGAGGGGGAGGCGCTGCGCCCGCCCTCGGAGGCGGGACTTCCGGAGCCAGTCTCCATTTCTACGGGCTGACTTGAGCAGCAAGGCCCGCCCCTTCGGCTTTGGGATTGGCTCAGGGACGCTTTCCGGTGACCCACTTCCGTCCCTTGCTGCTGTGGACTGTGGGCCGCCGGGGTCGGTGAAGGTGAGTGGAGTTCGGGGCGCTGGTCCCGGACACCGGCGGGCCGCCCTGTTTTGCCCCCTGCAGTCCTCGCGTCGACCATTGTCGCACTCCCGGCGAGGAGGCCGGGCCCTGCGGTCGTCCGGCTGGCAGAGCGCCCGGGTGTAGCTGCCGCCGCCACCGCCGCTCTGCTGCGCTCTCCCGTCCTCTCCCCTCCCCCGCGCGCGGTCGCGGCGCCGGGCTGTGACCCTGCCTCCTCTGACCTCCTCCAACCCGGGTCTCGTTCCGCACAGCTTGTGTCGTTCGGTCCGTCCCCAGCGCTGCCGACATCGACATTCCGGTTTGGGGGCTGGGGGAAACGTGACCCCGAGATGATGTTAACTTGTTGAGGGGACACTCGGTCTTCTCCTGAGGCTTCCAACATTGGAGCGTGCGAAGCGCTCGGGGTCCTCGAATGCAGGGTCCGCGTATCCTTTGGACAGATACTCAGCACCTCCTGTGCGCCTGCCTGACTGTCGTTCTGGGCGCTGGGGATTCAGCAATAAATAAAGGACAAAAATCCCATCATCTACGAAGCCTACCTGCACTGGTGCTTGGAAAAGTCTTGTAAGGGCGCTTATTCTTCTGGCGTCTTTACAAGGCACCTGCTGGGGTGTCTGGCTGGCTCAGTGGGTGGAGCATACGACTCTTGATCTCTGGGTTGTTAAGTTCGAAACCCACCTTGGGTGTAGAGGTTACTTAAAAGTCATCTGCCCATCACCTCCGTTCCTGGAAACCGGCTATTGCTGAGAGGGAAGGGAAGCAAGGGGCAGGTGTTGGACCAGTTCCTTTTTTAAGATCCTGAGAATTTCTTCCACCTCCTTTGGGATCCACCCCATGGTTTGTAAAGGCCTTTGACGTTTCAGTCTTTCTCCCACTGTCTGACACTGATCTTAACTTTAGTCTATTTTCTGATTTTCTTAGTTTTAAAAAAATGGCTGTAACTACTTTCCGTTTTCTTTCACATTCACATATGTACTGAATACCTCTGTTAAGGGTATTGGTAGAAAAAAAAAACAGGGTTATGTGCTAGTGCTGCAGAGGATAATCAGAAATAAATAAGAAAGCGCAGGTGTTACCATTCAGGTAGGGAGTGGGTGGAGAGCCCCTGAAACTTGGTAAGACTGTAGGGCAGATTGATGTGCACAATTTCACTTGGTACTTTTAACAGCCTTCTGAGGTAAGAAGGGTTGATTTTATCTCAATTTTTCAGGTGAGGAAATTCTGGCCTAGGGTCTGTTCTATTTAAGCTTTGTTGAAACTTGCATATATGTTCAGGTTCTGTGCTGGGTAATGTGAGTAAAACACATGCAATCAGACTGGAAATTAATTAATTAATTAACTTTTAAATCTTTTTATTTTTTAATTATTTATGATAGTCACACACACAGAGAGAGAGAGAGAGAGAGAGAGAGAGAGACAGGCAGAGGGAGAAGCAGGCTCCATGCACCGGGAGCCCGATGCGGGACTCGATCCCAGGTCTCCAGGATCGCGCCCTGGGCTAAAGGCAGGCGCCAAACCGCTGCGCCACCCAGGGATCCCTGGAAATGTATTTAAATGATCACTTTTATGCAGTGCGTACAACTAGAAGTATTTCCAAAGGTACATGAAGAGCAGACACTAGAGAACTGGGCTTTTTACGGTTGAGTAGGAGTTGGAGAATAGAGGGGGACAGTCTCGGGGGAAATGATGTGGTTATATGCCTGGTGGCATCCCTTGAATTTGAAAAGCTAAACTTTCCTCCTTATTTAGTAATCTTGATCCCAATCCTTTTAGTTTATAAATATACTCCTCAAGCTCTTAGAATGCTGATCAACTTTCTAAAGATTTGCATGTTTCTAAGGTGCCATTTAGAGGATTCTCAGTAAGAGCCCTGTTGTGATCTGACCTGTTTTATTTTCTAGGATCTCAAGATGGCTGGGCGAAAACTTGCTCTAAAAACCATTGACTGGGTAGCTTTTGGGGAGATCATACCCCGAAACCAGAAGGCCATTGCCAACTCCCTGAAATCCTGGAATGAGATGCTTACCTCCAGGTCAGTACCATTCTGAGAGGGACCTCCTTGCTACTGAATGTGGAAGCAAAACAGTGATTTGGAATTACATATGAATTCCTTATGGTCTTCTGATATAAGGAAATCCACGCATAGAGGCGCTTGGATGGCTCAGTTAAGCTTCCGACTTTGGTTTTGGCTCAGGTCATAATTTCATGGGTTATGAGATCAAGACCCATGTCAGGCTCCCTGCTTAGCAGGGCATCTGTTTGAGATTCTCTCCCTCTGCCCCTTCCCCCCACTCAAGCACACAAGCTCTCTCTAAATAAATGAATCTTTTTAAAAAATGCATGCATTTTTCCAAGTGAAAGTAGTTTTTTGACATTCTATGATCTTCCTCCTAGAGAAAAGTGTGTTGATAGCTCTAGGCCATAGGGATAACAGGGAAAGTACTGTGTGAATTTTCTCTTGCTTATAGAACAATATTAACTTCTGCTTTTCCATGTGAGCAGGTTGGCTACTCTTCCTGAGAAACCACCTGCTATCGACTGGGCTTACTACAAGGCCAATGTGGCAAAGGCTGGCTTGGTAGATGACTTTGAGAAGAAGGTGAGAGACTTCAGGAGGCTAATGCACTGGTCTTGTAGTGTGGCTTGTGGGTATGCAGCAAAACAGTAGGTAATTACACATGCAGGATGACAGCATGGAAACAAGGGTGCTGTTAACAGTCAGATCCCAAAGGAAGCTCAGGAAAGATGGGTGTGACCAAAAGTCTTGAGGTAGTAGATTTATATGGTAAATATGTGCAGAGAATTCATCGTCTTCATTCAACAAGTTTCTTATCCAAAGAAACAGTCCAGTATAGCCTTAATCAGGGAGCCAGAGGGCTGTGGAGTTAAAAGCTTCCATCTCAGGTCTTCTCAATTATTTTTTAGCCCCTCACCTGTCTCCCTAACATCTTTTCTACCCTTTCACTATTTTCCTCCTTTTTCTGCTCTTTTTTGGCTTAATGTCTCGTCCACTGAACCTCTTCTGACATTTACATGTTAAACTTCAGTATCCAGATTTTATTTGTTTATTCAATTGGCAGAGCTTTTCAAACAACTGCTCTCTGCCAGGTACAGTGTTCAGTGTGGGCTGTAGGACTAAGCAGTCTTCTAAGAAGACTGTCTTCATCACCATGGAGTAAATAAACATTACTTCTGCCAGTCAGTCCATTAAGGTTTCATTTGAAAGAGAAGTCAGAGTTTCTTCAGGAGTACAAGGTTCTAGGAGGCCATTTTTGAGGTCATCAAAATCCAACTGTCCTTTTCAGATGAAGAAACTGAAGCTCATCGTAATAATTGTCCAGTTAGTGATAGGACTCAGAACCTTGAGCTCCTGTTTTCAGGGTAATACTCCTACTACAGCATGCTAGCTAGATGCATACTGGTTTCCTCTTGGAATGGAGAGTGTGTTTTTATCTATAAGGATTGGTGGCTTTGAGCCCTTTCTTTGGATTCCCCAGTGTATTAATAACGACTGCCCTTGGGGCACCTGGGTGGCTCAGTGGTTGAGCTATTTGCCTTTGGCTCAGGTCATGATCCCTGGGTCCTGGGATCGAGTCCTGCATCAGGGAGCCTGCTTCTCCCTCTGCCTATATCTCTGCCTCTCTCTGTGTGTCTCTCATGAATAAGTAAATAAAATCTTTAAAAAAATAACAACTGTCCCTGTGTTTGTAGTTTAATGCCCTGAAGGTTCCTGTGCCAGAGGATAAATACACTGTCCAGGTGGATGCTGAGGAAAAAGAAGATGTAAGTAGTCTGGACTCTATTTATTCTAAAGTTTTCTTACATTGGAAGTTTGGTTAAGGTAGAGTGAATTAAAAGCAGTAAAATAAACTGTAGAAAATGCAAGTACTCTATGGTGACAGTGCTTCAGTAGTTGCCTGGGACTGGGAGGGAGGGGGCTGATAAATTCGTTCACTGTCTTGATTGTGGTCATGGTTTCACAGGTGGATACGTATATCAGAACTTCTCAAGTAGCCTTCTTGCAGTATGTGAATTTTATTGTTTGCCGGTTATACTTCCACAAAGCTGTTAGAAACAAGGAGTTAGAATTGGGTAGGGAAATTATCCAAGGTAGTATTCAAATACCTAACTATTTGCTTGAAAGTATGAAAACCAAATGTGGGGGGGGCGCCTGGGTGGCTCAGTTGTTGAGCATCTGCCTTTGGCTCAGGTCATGATCCTGGGGTCCTGGGATCAAGTCCCACATCGGGCTCCTTGTAGGGAGCCTGCTTCTCCCTCTGCCTGTGTCTTTGCCTCTATGTGTCTCTCATGAATAAATAGTCTTAAAAAAAAAAAAAAAAGAGGGCAGCCCGGGTGGCTCAACGGTTTAGCACCGCCTTCAGCCCAGGGTGTGATCCTGGAGACCCAGGATCGAGTCCCACATGGGGCTCCCTGCATGGAGCCTGCTTCTCCCTCTGCCTGTGTCTGCCTCTCTCCCTCTCTCTCTCTCTCTGTGTGTGTGTCTCTCGTGAATAAATAAATAAAATCTTAAAAAAAAAAAAAGAGAAAGCCAAGTCAAATGTGGGAACCCAGGTGGCTCCACCAAAAGAGAAATCTGGCTAGGTGATCAGGCGGCTTGTCTTGACATTTAGTCTGTGAAACACGGGCACTCTGTCGGTTGCCTAGGTGAATAACTTGCTGATGATCCTTAGTCCTGCTAGAGTAAGCTGGTTCTCCTGTATGGGCTTCTTCGTGCATTTAGGAAAAGCTTTAGTTTGCTTCCCAAAGCCAGAATTCCCCCTGGAGTCAGGGCAGCCACATATTCTGCATACAGAGTGGGAAAGCAAGAGTGTGGGGCTCTGGGACTTTTGTCTTGGGAGCCTGAGTCAGGACAGTACAATTTGGTTTCAAAACAGTATCTCCCCTTCTCTTCAAGGTGAAAAGCTGTGCTGAGTTTTTGTCCCTCTCAAAGGCCAGGATTGAAGAATATGAAAAAGAGGTAAGGATCAGCCTTGGCCTTTGCATGTAATATGATTTCTCTCTTTCATGGCCACCCATCTTTCACCTAGCAGCAGTAACCTACCTCGGATTCTTTTTTTGCATTTCTGTGGCCCTATTTTACCTTGACACAATTCCCTTCTTTCCAGCTGGAGAAGATGAAGAACATAATTCCATTTGATCAGATGACCATTGAGGACCTGAATGAAGTCTTCCCAGAAACCAAATTAGACAAGAAGAAGTATCCCTATTGGCCTCACAAGCCAATTGAAAATTTATAAACTTGAGTTGAGGAGAAAGCAGCCCCGGCCCTCATATTATAAACATTGGACATTAAAAATAATGATACGGTGTTGTGTGTCTCGAGGCTCCTTTGCAGTTGAGATAATTACAACTCTGAGATGCCCTCACTAGAAGTGGACTTTTTGTTAAAACGGAAAGATGAGCCTACAGGTATGTGCTGGTGTAGTTACCTAATGGTTAGGGTATGTAGGAGCCAGTTAGCCCTCAGGGCTGCTTATATCTTAACAAACAACAATAGGGCTGATGACAGTGCATTTCACTGAACTATGTTAAAAAGGAATCCTCTACTCCCTTGAGCTTCCTCTTTGCTTTCAAACCACTGGTTTCTAAGCACTGCTTCCTTGTACTTGTCTAAGTAAGTCACAACACAAGGACAGACAGATGGTCCAACTTGCAGATGTAACAGCAGGGTGAGTAGCAAGCAGGGATCTCCTTTTCTGTGCTTCAGTTCCTCAGCATAAATGTGGTATGAAAGGACATTTTGTTGCAGAGTTAAAACATTACAGTTTTGTATTCAAACATAGAAAATTATTTCAATATCATCATTTTGTTTAAAAATGTTCATACTATTGATCTGGCTGGCTCAGTTGGTAGAGCACAGTGATTCCTGATCTTGGGGTCATGAGTTTGAGGCCCACATTTGGTGTAAAGATGACTTAAAAAAAAAAAAAAGACAAAGTAAGGTGAGATGGTCGAAAGCATTCTATCGCCCTTGAAGTCAGAGGATCTGGTCTGCCTCCCACTTTACTCTTAGCATTTAAAAATTTTTTTAATTTAAGTTAATTAGCCATACTACATCATTAGTTTCTCTTTTTGAGCATTTAATTGCTTGTTTTAGACTACTTGTTTACTGTTTTAGGACTTGCCTTTTCTCATTCACAAACCTCAGGATCATAATGAAAATTAAATGTGGTAACCCGGGAAGGTTCTAAGTGAGCAGGAGTTCTGAGCAGAGGCATCTGACCTGATAAGGCTTACATCCTGTAGGAAAAACCTGCAAGAGGAAGGGCAGCATGCACAGACCCAACAGTCTTTTGACATTGCTAACAAACATGGCAGATGGACAAATGGAGAAGAGCAATGATGGCTGATAGTGCCTAGAAAGCCGTGTGGTCTTAAAGGACATAAGCAGAGGAGAGCCTGGGCCCTATCACCCCTGATCATACGGGCAGGCACTATGCTGAAGGTAAAATGTGGTTGAGGGCCAAGATGTGTTCCATGGAGAGGTGCTTTAGTTACAACAGTCTGATGCAGGTGTGCCTTTAATGCACAAAACAGAAATGAATACCACACATTCCCTCTCCTCTGTGAATTAATTGGCACTGAGCCATCTCTCTGAAGATTGAGGATTCAGACAAGTGAAACATGAGGAATCTAATAAAATATTGAGTTTGCTTTTGGAGTGTGGTTAGAACTCCCATTCAAGGAAGGACCCAACAGTCGTCCCTGGGAAGTTTGGTAACAAGAGTCCCTAGCATTGGAGGGAGACCCTTTGGAAGACTTACTGGAAGAGATACCAGTGAACAACTGAACATGCTCTTTATCCAAGACATTTGGGTAGAATTGGGACACTTTTAAATTGCATAGTCTCCTGGGTTGTTTGAAATTTTTGCATTGAGCATGCATTGATTTTACTTTGAAAATAATTACTAGTGGGATGCCTGCCTGGCTCCATTAGTGGAGTGTATGACTCTTGATCTCAGGGTTGTGAGTTCAAGCCCCATGTTGGGTGTAGAGAGAACTTAAAATATTAAAAATCATTAGTAAAATGGGACTATGCTTTTAAAATTACTAGAGAAGGGATCCCTGGGTGGCGCAGCGGTTTGGCGCCTGTCTTTGGCCCGGGGCGCGATCCTGGAGACCTGGGATCGAATCCCACATCGGGCTCCCGGTGCATGGAGCCTGCTTCTCCCTCTGCCTATGTCTCTGCGCCTTTCTCTCTCTCTCTCTCTCTCTCTCTCTCTGACTATCATAAGTAAATAAAAAAAAAATTAAAAAAGTAAAAATAAAATATAAAATTACTAGAGAAAAATGCATTCTATATACCAAGAGTTAAAGATAGAAATCAGCAAAGTAGCGTAAATACAGAACCAAACATACTTAAGATAATTATGAATTAGTAAAGACCCTCTATTAGAAGGCATTGGGTCAACCCAAAATCTACTCACAAGCTGTCCATCCTTAGAAAAAGGTATCAAGGGTTCCAATTCATTCAAAAAATGCACTGAAGGAAAAAAAATATGCATTTATCCTGCCTTTTTGAACTACTGTATTGGGACACCTAGGTGGCTCAGCGGATGAGCACCTACCTTCAGCCCAGGGCATGATCCCGGGGTCCTGTGATCGAGTCCCACATCAGGCTCCCTGCATGGAGCCTGCTTCTCTCTGCCCCCCCCCCCGTCTTTCATGAATAAATAAATAAAAATCTTAAGAAAAAAAAAAAAACTATTTCAGGCACCTGGGTGGCTCAGTTGGTTAAGCACCTGCCTTCGGCTGAGGTGATCCCAGAGTTCTGCCCCGCACTGGGCTCCTTCCTCAGTGGAGATCCTGCTTCTCCCTCTCCCTCTGCCGGCCACTCCTGCTTGTGTGCTCACTTGCTTGCTCTCTCAAAATCTATTTATTTATTTGCTCTCTCAAAATATTTAAAAAATAAACAATTTCAACTAATAGACATAATTAAAGTTCTTCACAAAGTATTCAAGCCAATAAATGTGGAAAAAAGTAACATCAGAAAAGTCACTATTTTGTAATTCCTAATGAAATAGTTTTTTTAGGCCAAGCTCATCACTGGGTGAAACCATTACATGAAAGGTTGAGGAACTTCACCGTGAGCAGGCTATCTGTTCCTGATGCCAAGCCTATCTCCCGTACCTTCTGATACACTAAATTAAACACAGCACTGTTTGGAAGGGTTTTTTTTTTTTTTTTTGTCAGTTGAACCTGACTTTAATTGAGGCATTCAAACTAACTTCCAATTTAGAGGAAATAGCTGGGATAGAAGAACAAGTTAAATGACACTATGAAGTTTAGATAAATTCAAAATATGGGACATTTGACCTTTGTTTTTTAACAAGTCAGTGGTGCAGGGTAAGGTAAGAGGGGAAAGCAGGGGCAGATTTAGGTTAAAAGAGGCTGAAAAGACCCAACATCCAAATCTTGTGTGTGACTTTAATTGGATTCTGATTTGCAACAATCAACTGTAAAGAGATAATTAAGAGATGAATACTGAAGTATGTGAATGTGTTCTGGGGTGAAATGATACGATGTCTGGGATTACTTTAAAAACTTCAAAAAAAAAAAAAAAACTTCAGAAGGGGCGCCTGGGTGGCTCAGTCGGTTGTGTCTGCCTTCACCTCAAGGTTATGATCCGAGAGTCCTGGGATGAGCCCCATCCTCCCCTGCTCTGGCTCTCCACTCAGCGAGGAGTCTGCCTCTCCCTCCCCTACTGCTTCACCTGCTTGTGCTCTCTCACTCTCTGTCAAATAAAATCTTAAAAAAAATAAAATGTCAGAAAAAAAGGATAAAGGGATTAATGGAGCAAATGTGAAAAAATCCTGCTGGTAAATCTAGGTTGGTTCATTCACTATTTTCTGTTTTTGTGTATGTTTGAAAATTTTTGTAACACATTTTTAAAGGATGGGCAACAATGTAGAGTTACTATCTAGCAAAGTAGAATTCAAGACAAAAACATGAAATGGGTCAAATGTAATTCTTAATAAAGGGTATAACCAACATGAAAAAATTATTGGAACCTTGATGTCCTGAAAAAAATTAAAATATATAAAGCATCAAAATACATAAAGCAAAAAAGTTTTAAAAATGCTAGAAACAACAGTTGCAAAGATTTTAACTCATTTTTGGCATTTGCAAAACAGTGAGACTATAGCAAACTATAATAAAAAGTCTCAATGGGTTATATAGTAAATTCTGCGTCATATAAACAGAATACTAGGAACTGATAATGTTAGACTATAAAGAAAGCTTGAAATTAAAAAAAAAAAAAGACACATCAACTGATCCCAGAACAAATGTTACATAAAACCAACAATAGACAAAGTATAAATTACAATAACACAACGCAATACAAAAATGCAGGCACTTGGAAACTCCTTGTCCTCATGAATTTCATTGAGAAATCAAGTAAATGCAGAATGCTTGAAAGATAAAAGTAATACGGTCAATCCTAAAGGATTAGAAAGATCTAGAGAGGGATCCCTGGGTGGCGCAGCGGTTTGGCGCCTGCCTTTGGCCCAGGGCGTGATCCTGGAGACCCGGGATCGAATCCCACATCGGGCTCCCGGTGCATGGAGCCTGCTTCTCCCTCTGCCTATGTCTCTGCCTCTCTCTTTCTCTCTCTGTGACTATCATAAATAAATAAAAATTAAAAAAGAAAAAAAAGATCTAGAGGGTTCTGGAAGATTCTTTGTTGAGTGCCAGCATATCTTAGTCATATTTATATTCCCCAGGGTTTAGCACTGTGCTCAGGATCCAGAAGAATCTTTTTTTTTTTTCATCCAGAAGAATCTTAATAAGCCTTCATAATGAATGACGGAAAAGAAAAGATGAAATTTGAGCCTTCAGGCCTTCACATCTAACTAGGATAATATCACATATAAACCTTGAATAATGGGGCAAACTAGTCTTAGTAAATATGATGGGCTTATCGAGCACATACTGTGTTCCAGGCATTGTTCTACTCCCTTGATGTGAAAATCATTGTATTTACTCCTCACAACAACCCTCTGAGGTAGCTGGCGAATGGGTCAGAACATTAAGGAAGTCCTCAGAAGGTGACAGGATTGCCAATGATGCTGTTGCTGTTTACCCTGAGGCCTCCTCAGAGTACTCAGCCAATGGCTCCCCATCACCCTCTTTATTTTGAAATCATCCTATTCATCAATTTGCTTGTTTTACCGCCTGCCTGCCAGCTCCCTAGAACGTGAGCTCCCGGAGTCAGGGCCCAGCGGATGGTTTCAGAATATCTGAAGCGGGAAACCCGCAGAAGCCCCAGTGGCTCCAGTGGGACAGGCCAGGGCCATGATGCTACA